CCAACCTGTACATTACACAGCTCAGTAGATTGAACCATCATTGCTTGGCTCTTACATCACACCTAATTGTTTAGCTGATGCTTTTGCCTCTAAAAGAGTCCCGGTTTCCCCAGTTTAATTCAGTTGATTTTTATATAGCACCTTTCACAAGAGTCCGCCCCAGCTGCTTGACAAGGATGTGTTGAAATTCATCATTACGTCATTTATATAGACGAAAAGAAAGAAAGACAGAACACAAATGGAGGAGAGAAACCAAAAACTCCAAAATAGGGAAAATAAGAAAGGCAAGGTTGAAAACTGAGGTCATGGGTCAGACTCCATCAAAGCGTCAGAGTCCAGCCAGTTGTGCCACACTAGGGCCTCCTCGGAGCTCCTTCTCCTGCTCGGAGCTCCTCCTCCTCCTCCTCCTCGGAGCTCCTTATTTGGAGGACATGAGCACATACACCCAGCTGAAGCTGTCAAAGTAGCCTCATCTTAGGGTCCGGTCATTTCTTACATTCATCCATCGTCCAGTGACCTGTGCTGGTCCCAGAGGCCTTTAGCCTATCCCAGGCAGCACTGGGCACAAGGCTGGGGTTCACCTTGTACAGGATACCAGTCCATCAGAGGCACAGATACACAAGTATACATGCACTAAGGGTAGTTTAGTGACATCAGTTATCTTAACTGTGCCTCTTTGGTCCCTTGGGGGCAACTGAAGTACCCAGCAGAAAACCATGTGACATGAGGACAGTGTGCTAACTCCACACACACAGAGCAAGGCCAGAGTCGAACCCTCAACCCTGGAGGGGGGAGGCAGCAGTGATGCCTGCTGAGCCGCGGTGCCCCTCCACTTCTGCAGACTACTACCTCCCCTGGGCTTAAATGTCAGGGTTTGACAAATTTTAGAATTTCACTATACATCAAATTAAGAATCTGTAGATCGCCTTCCACCTGTAACGCGGGGTCAGTCCAGGAGAATCTCTGTACCGCCTGTACACAGGGTCTCTGTGGTTCTGGTCATCTGGTCAGGCTGCAAGGCTGTGCTCTCCCCTTAGGGCTTCAAGAGAGCTGTAGCACCTGGAAGTCAGGTCCGGATGCCCATGGTGGTCACGCAGGCACAGGTCCGAGCTCCAGGTAAGGGGCGCCGTCTGTGTGCGGTGGCAGCCAGGGGAGCGTTACACCAGGGATGCAAGGAGCTCAAATCTGGAAAAGCTGTGTACTGTGTGTGTGTGTGTGTGCTGTGTAACCTCTGTGTGTGTGTGTGTGGGCAGTGTAACCTCTGTGTGTGTGTGTGTGTGTGTGTGGGCAGTGTAACCT